TTCCAAGCAACAACAGTATTTGGGGATCAGGTAGAGGGAGATGAGTCAGCAAACTGACACATCATTGCCAATAAAGTCAGGAAGAAAGTCAAAGTGGCTGTGGTATCACAGAAACAAAGGGAAAAGTGTATTTCAACAGGAGGGCTAGGCTACCTATCAAGAGAACCCAGACACAGCAGAGGGAAGGGCAGGGCCCCGTGGGGGGGCTCCCACCTGTGATCCCAGCATTCTGGGAGGCTGGGGCAGATAGACTGCTTATGCTCAGCAGTTCAAGACCAGCCTGAGCAAGACTGAGCCCCTGTTTCTACCAAAAATAGAAAAACTACCCAGGTATGGTAGCAGGTGGCTGTAGTCCCAGCTACTCGGAAGGCTGAAGCCAGGAGGATTACTTGAGCCCAGGGGTTTGAGGTTGCTATGAGCTATGATGACACTATGGCACTCTATCCAGGGTGAGAGAGTGAGACCCTGTACCACAAACAAACAAACAAAAGGCTCCGGCAGTGAGTGGAAGGAGAGGGAATGATTGCAGTGACCCTACTCACTGCATTTGAGAAGACCAGCTGTAAAACCAGCAGAGAGAAAAAGAGGCTGAAGCTGCAGTAGCAGGCAAAATCAGGAGATACTTTCTTCTAGGATGTGGGAGACAGTGAAATGTTCAAACACTGAATAGAGAAATCCTGAAGATACAGAATGGGATTAAGAGTCTCCATGGAAAGATTAACCTTGAATAGGGAGAAACTGAGAAAAGGATAGTTCCAGTGCATGTAGGAAGGCAAACTTGTTCTTAGAAAATTAAGAGAGCTCCCTCTGAAGAAGTCTACTTGTTTTTTTAAACAAAATGCAAGGTCATCTGTCAAGACAAGTTGAGGCTCAGCACCTGTAGCACAGTGGTTAAGGCGCCAGCCACATACACTGGGGCTAGTGGGTTCGAATCCAGCCCGGGCCAGCTAAGCAACAATGACAACTGCAACAGAAAAATAGCCGGACATTGCAGTGGGTGCCTGTAGTCCCAGCTACTTGGGAGAGGCAAGAGAATCACTTAAGCCCCAGAGTTTGAGGTTGCTGTGAGCTGTGACGCCACAGCACCCTACTGGAGGTGATGTAGTGAGACTGTCTTAAAAAAAAAGAGAGAGAGAGAGAGAGGGTTTTGAGTATAGTGGAATGATTAAAAATATTCGTTGAGAAGCATGTGGGAGAGAAGTTTGCAAGGGCAATGTCGTAAGGTTGCCAGACTTGTGTGGCTGGTGAGCTCAGAGATGGGAAGTATTATTCCCTCTTTGCATATGAAGAAATTGAGGCTCACAAGGGTTAAGTAACTTGCTCAAGGTCACATAAGGAATAAACAAAGGAGGTGGGATTTGAGTATTGGCCTGTGTGATTCTTTCTTTCCAGAACATTAGGCTAAATGGATTCCTTGGACCAGGGGGACAATTTTGGTTTCAGGAAGGAGATTGGTGTGTGAGCTACAAACTTTATTCTTACCTCTTAATTCACTTTGTCCATTTCCTTTAGTTTTGCTATGCTATCTCATCTCTGAAATCTGCAGTCCAAGGAGGTTTCAGGATTAATCAGTAACGGATCATGGCATATAACAGACATTCTTCTTTTAGATACTAAATACCATTCAGAAGCTTTGGTTCAGTATTAACTTAAAGGCAATAAGGGAGTTTGCTGAACCCTTTGCATGATAATTGTCCCTCAGAATTATATTTACAAAATAAGAAAACAGGACTGCATAAGTAAAGAGTATTGCATTCAGAAGCTGTGAAGTAATTTTCTCATTATGCTTGCACAGTTAATTTTCCTGGTGAGCTTTGTTCAGAACTCTAAGGCTTTCTCACAGTGGTTATAATTCTAGAATTTCTAAAGAGATGGTGTGATAGGCTTCTCTGGATAGTTTATAAGAATTAGTGGGTGATGGTATGTGGACATTGCAGGTTGATCACAGAGGCCTGAAAGTGGTTCTGGGGTATCTCCCTCCTCACAGACAAAGTCCCATCCTGACCTCCTGTACCTAGGGCTGTAGGCACTGTATTGAAATAATAAGAACTTTTTCTTGGGAATACTAATTCCTTACTATTTAGGATTTTGGGCTATTCAAGAAACTATAAAGAAGGGAAGTATTGTTTAGGTAGGTCACCCCTTGGATCAGGGATGAGGGCTGAGATGCCCTTTTTTTCATCAAGGGCAAATTCCTGCAAATCCTCTAGTCCAGCTGGCAGGCTGGGGGGGAGGTCAGTTCTCTCCTACCCTGAACTGATTCTGTGTCAACTGTTAACTGTTCCTTAGGCAGGAGGCTTTTTGACACAACTAGGAATAAAGTGCTTTCCTTACACGAATATACAAGGGCCTTCGAGGTCCACAACAACCACATGCGATGTGGTTTGCAATCATTTCTGGGCACCTCAGTCCTTCCTAAGGAAGGGAAATACTAGAGCAGTGTCTCTGAAATTGATGACCAAGATCCTTTGTAAATTATGTCTTTCAGCAGGTTACAGTTAGCATTTGTTAAAAGTGTGAAATACAGTAAAACAGAATAGAAAACACCAGGGTGTGCTAGGTGCTATGGCTCACACCTGTAATCCCAACACTGGGAGGTTGTGGGTGAATCCCTTCAGCTCAAGAATTTGAGACCAGCCCAAGCAGGAGTGAGGCCCCATCTCTACTAAAAATACAAAAATAACTGGGCATGGTGGCAGGGGCCTGTAGTCCCAGCTACTCGGCAGTCTGAGGCAGAAGGATTGCTTGAGCCCTGGAATTTGAGGCTGCTGTCAGTTATGACACCTCATCACTCTATCCAGGGGACAGAGTGAGATTCTGGCTCAACACTCTCCCTGCCCCCCACCAAAAAACCTGAAAAAACAAAACTGGGTGCACTTTAGAAACAAAGGGTATTTGGGAAACATCTTTCAGATAGACGTAAGGTGTGTGTGCGTTGCCTGTGATGTAACATAGATTTCATATTGTAGTTATGGTCAACAGTTTAAAGGTCACTGTTTCAGACTACTGCAGCCCCACAGAGATTTCTTAAGCCACAGTCATACGATATTCTTCCAAACTGTGGGGGCTGGTAAGATCCTGGGCACTATATTCCAGGGTTGTCCTAAAATTTTCTTGCAAATCTCACCTGCTAAATAAGTGCTTGCCCACAGCAAAGGAGCTAGGATTTGAAGCCAGGCTTCAGTGAAGAGAGGAATGCAGATGTGGAAGAGGTTCCCCTCGCAGAAGACTAGGACCCAGAGCCAAAGCTGTGGCAGTAACCCTGAATCCACAGCTTTCTCAGCACTGTGAAACTAAATAGCCATGCCTTAGTTTCATTTTAACCATACTAAAAGGTTAGGATGATGTAAAATAAATAAAACATCCATGATAAGCATTTATCTCTTTAGCATAACCACAGTTTCTTTAGTCTGTACACAACTTCCCTGCATGTGAGGAGTTAAAAAATAACATTTGGGGGGGCGCCTGTGGCTCAAAGGAGTAGGGCATCAGCCCCATATGCCAGAGGTGGTGGGTTCAAACCCCTGGCCAAAAACTGGAGGGAAAAAAAAAAAGTAACATTTGATCATTTTCATAGAAACCATCCACTTCAGAGATAGTTTCTATTTCAATAAATATAAACCAAGAAAAAATACTCTTAATTTCTATGCAGTTACTTGCTCTATGTGGGCTACTAATGTATAAAATGTTAAACAATTATATAGGTAAATGCAATTTGCTTAGTTGAAAGTTTGCACCCACTATTTGAATGAGGAAAGCTTTTCTTCACACCTTTCATCCCTAAAATACCCTGTACGGTAAATGTCACTGCCTACTTCTGATGTGGTGACAGGTCAGTCACCAGCTCATAGTTATTTTAAAATACGTAGAACTTTGTATAAAAAAGTTTCAGAAGGGTAGGAAATCATTATTATTATAAAAATGTAATGTCTTGACCAGGTGAGGCGGCTCACGCCTATAATCATAGCACTCTGGGAGGCTGAGGTAGGTGGATTGCTTGAGCTTAGGAGTTTGAGACCAGCCTGAGCAAGAGCAAGACCCTAGCTCTACTAAAAATAGAAAAATCACTTGGGGGAGGGATAAGGGGGCTGTGGTCCCAGTTAATTGGGAGGCTGAGGCAAAGGACCCCTTAAGCTTAGGAGTTTGAGGTTGCTGTGAGCTATGACACCATGCTACTCTGCCCCAGGTGACAGAGTAAGACTCTGTCTCAGAAAAAAACAAAGTAATGTCTTATAAAATTCCTAAGGATAAAGAGGAATATCATACAGTATTATTATTGTGAAAACCAAACAGAAGATAAAAAGGCAAAAAACAAAAAAATTGCAAAGTATTAGTCACAATAAACAGTTACATGTACAACAGCAGCATATATGTTCATTAAACATAGGATCGCTCCTTTTCAGTCATGCAAAGAAACTCACTATACATACATTTTTCTGGGGTATTTATTGGCAAAATGAAATAAAACATTCTCTAACCACTTAAATTCCATTTTAAATTCAGAGCCAATTGATTTGAATGAAAGTCTTTAATAGCTCAAAGTGAAAACTCTAAAAGGTTTAGAGAAAGGGCAACCAGAGAAAAGGTTAATATATTAAAATCCTTTTAATGTGTTTTGTATTTAAAAGCTTTAACAATAAAATTAACACAGTATTCCAACTCCACAGGCAAGCTGAATGAAGAAAATTTAATATACCCAAGGTAGAGATGACAGTGAATTACAGTATATTTGCAGACTGAGAATAAAACTCAATACACAGTTGCAAAACAGAAGGGACAAAAAGCTTCCTCACCAAGTTAGAAGGCAGAAAATCATATTATTTCCATGATAACAGTGTGTATTTTCAACATTTCAAGTAAATTAATAAAAAAACACTCATAGAAGGATGGTATCTATAATTTCAGTCCCCCCATATAAACTGAATGTATATATAGATAAAATAAATTTATGAAAAAGGGAGGCTAAAAAGTAAAGCACAGGATGCATTTCTTTCTCTTACCATTGTCACCAGCAGGCAATGACACTGTGTTTGTTGGCATGGTGTCAGAACTCACTTTCCCATTCTCAAATGTATCATTTTCAGTCTGCTGTAGCTGCCAGTTGAGGCCAAAGAGGTGCATTGCTGGGGGAAAGAGCAAAGATGGTTTAGAGCTCTGCTGGTTTACCTGCAACAGTTATGTGCAAACACAGTAAAATGTCCATTTTTCTGAAATACCAAGAATAATCACACAATAAAAGTGATGAAAGAAAGAGTTCCTCAACTAATGTAACGTAGGCAGCAACACAGGGCAAGATGGCGGCACTTTGGTAACGATTTGATAGTACTCAAGTAACCGGTACCAGGACCCTTAGGAATGAGTTGGGTTTTTTTGCTGTAATTTGTCCTGAGTTCAAATTCTCACCATCAGTTAATGAAATGGTAGAATATTTTATAGTAGTGTTTGCCAAACATCCCACAGGTCACTAGCAAATTTATTCTACTTTGTGAAACACCTCTGGGTGTTGAAGACATGTGATGCTACATATTTGGGTTAAGGGAGAAAGGAAAAAATGGTCTCAGAGATGGATTTTTTGCATATGAAATGACCAGAATAGATTCAGGTGAACAAAATATACAATGCAAACATTCTAAAGTTAGAATGAGTAATTTGGGGGCTTCTGACATACAACTCAGTAATGGCACAGATTAAACAGCACACATATATAGGGTAATGAGTTTCTGATGTAAGTCTAATACTAATGTTATAGATTTATAAATAGTTTATAACTTTATTAAAGTTATATTACCAATTTTCCTTATTTATAATATTTAGAATACATATAACTATATGCTTATAGATTACAGATTTTAAATTACAAATATTAATTGCACTTCACCATTTGTTTATTATTTTTCTGAAATATTTAGAGAAACACATCATTGTCATATTAACCATTAACACTTACTAAACTTGTGCTCCAGAGAATATAATTTAGGAACTCATCTCTAAAGAAGGCTAAATATTTGTAGGAAAACCTAGAATTCACCTAGGAAACCTATTGGAATTCACCAGAGAGATGGATAAAGAATAAAAAGGCAACATGATTAGTAGCACTGTCAAAAAGCCCATAGTGAATATCCCGCACATGTAATAACAGAGCTAAACTGGCTTAGTGTAAAGAGCAGGGCCTCCAGATGTAGTTAGATTTAGGTCTGATCCTCAGTGTAAGATTTAGCCTTGGACAAATTATGTAATATTCTTTGACATGAGGTTCATTTTAAAAAGGAGGCTTGTTAAAACTCCCTTATTTAATTGAGGTGAAAATTCTAGACAGAGTACATGAGGGAGACCTGGCACAAAGCAAGATACTTCTTATTATAAAGGTATTTTATTTATTCTAGACTCCAGATTTAATGTACTACCTGGACTCACCTGCCTAGAGCATGATGCCTCACAGTAAACAGTCCCGTCTGTCTGCAAAGCTTCCCACCCATGGTAAAATACCTGTGTGTCACTCAGATGGGAGGGGTCAGCTTGTTGAGGAAGCCTATCCCAACTGCCTTAAGTGCTTTTTCCCAAAACCATGTTAGTTTCACTTTTGCATCTCATTTGAAAGAGATACATTTCTATGACTATGTATTTATACACATAGGTTACAGGACCCACCATCTAGTAGGTTTCAATAAATAACTCTCATATTAATCAATTTAAGTTACAAATACTTCTACCTTCTAAGGCATTAAAATCTAACAATATACTGTTGGGGATAAAAATATAGTAATTTAAAGGAAAAGTTAATAAATATAAGACAAATACACAGCTAAAACGGAAAGCTTATGAACCTTGAGTCATGAATGCTTTAAAAGGAACAGTGTCTATTGGGACCTGATCAAACTAAAGAGCTTCTGCATAGCCAAGAACACAGTAAGTAAAGCAAGCAGACAATCCTCAGAATGGGAGAAGATATTTGCAGGTTATATCTCCGACAAAGGTTTAATAACCAGAATCCATAGAGAACTCAAACGTACTAGCAAGAAAAAAACAAGTGATCTCATTTCAGGGCGGGCAAAGGACTTGAAGAGAAATTTCTCTAAAGAAGATAGGCGCATGGCCTACAGATACATGAAAAAATGCTCACCATCCTTAATCATCAGAGAAATGCAAATCAAAACTACTTTGAGATATCACCTAACTCCAGTAAGATTAGCCCATATCACTAAATCCCAAAACCAGAGATGCTGGCGTGGATGTGGAGAAAAGGGAACACTTCTACACTGCTGGTGGGAATGCAAACTAATATGTTCCTTTTGGAAAGACGTCTGGAGAACACTTAGAGAACTAAAAATAGATCTGCCATTTGATCCTGCAATTCTTAAGTATATATCCACAAGACCCAAAACCACATTACAACAAAGATATTTGTATCAGAATGTTTATTGCAGCCCAATTCATAATTGCCAGGTCATGGAAGAAGCCCAAGTGCCCATCAATCCACGAATGGATCAATAAACTGTGGTATATGTACACCATGGAATACTATGCAGCCATAAAGAAAGATGGAGACTTTACCTCCTTCATGTTTACATGGATGGAGCTGGAAAATGTTCTTCTTAGCAAAGTATCACAAGAATGGAAGGAAAAGTATCCAAAGTACACAGCCCTATTATGAAACTAATTTATAGCTTTTATATAAAAGCTATAACCTAATTATAGCCTAAGAATATGGGAAGAGGGGAGAGGGAGGATAGGGGAGGGGTTGGATGAGTGGAGGGAGGGTGATTGGAGGGATCACCTCTAAGGGTTATCTTACAAGGGTACAAGTGAATCTTTCTAAAAATAGAATATAAACGTTTTAACACAATAAACTAAGAAAATGGCATGAAGGCTGTTAACCAGTTTGATGAAAATATTTCAAATTGTATATGAAAACAGCACACTGTACCCCATGATTGCATTAATATACACAGCTATCATTTAATATAAAAAAAAAGGAACAGTGTCTGAGAAGTAGTTGAGTGAGGGTTCAGTGTCATTATACTTGATTGAATTAAAAACATCCTATAGTTTTAGAACATTTTATTATCAGTCCCACATTTTTTTGCTAATAAAACTTGCTATAAAAGCATTTCATAGTAAGAAAGACACCAAACTCAGATAGTTATACCTCCCCCATATAACTTTAAATGTGTATATTCACCCTTCCTGCTTAGATGATACTCTGCCAGCAATTCTTTCTCAACTGACTTTCACAGATTAAGATACAGGTTCTAGAATTCTGGAATTTACAAGTTGTCATCTTGTGAAGAGGGATCACTTCTTATTATCATTTTGCATTAAATTATGTAGTGTTTGGCAAAATGTTAGGAGCTTTCTAAACATTTATCACTTTGTACATTTTTCAGGGTTTCAGAGACTCCAGCAATTTTTGAACAAAATAATGGGCACTAGTTCTGCATACAGTAAAAGGTTTGACAGATTCACATTGTTACAGCAGAAATAAATATTCCAACGGGGTCAAAGTTTCCACACAAAATAACATGTCATTGCTGTGATTTGTTAACATAAAATGTCTTCCTGAATGATAGATTTGCTCATATTATTGGTCTCAGATTTAGAGGAGAAAAGATAATCCATGGGGTTTCCTTACTGTTAAAAGGGAATGTCATGTTGTGGTAGAAAAGCTATTTTATATTTTGCCAGATGGATAATAGCTTTATTATTTGTTTTTTCTTTATTAATTATAGAAAATCTCAATATAATGGGATTATGGTTCTACTTAAGATGTCTGCTTAAGATGCTGTATAATAATAATATTACACCTTCTTCAATACTGGGCTGGGCACCCCTGGTTTATTATATACTTCAGCTTTTTCAGTATTTTCCTCAGAGTTGGTCTTGGAGGCCTCTTGGATCTCTGGAGTTGAACTGGTTCCTGGGAACTGACAAACAGAAGGCCTCAGAATAGTAACAGTCGGAAGGAGCCTGGGAGGGCACCTAGTATACTTCTACTTTTTTCTTAGGGCAGAAAAACATTTCCAAGATTATTCCCTGTCAGTCGATGCTGCTCTTTAAATAAGGTGCAATATCTCACACATTTGTCATCCCTAAAAGTAATGAGTATATTTTTTATACTATCACCCAAGTCAATGATAAAAAATTATAGTAATATCAACTCCAGGAGTGACTTAAACGGGTGTGAAGCCATCAAGCATGACTGAAACCGGTGTCATTGACAGCCAAATCGTCTACTGCAGACTGTCTTTTTAGTTTGTTTTGTGGTACGTGTGGGCAGTAAATAACTGTTAGATGTTGAAAATGAAAATATTTCTTATGGAATTCAAACACAATCATCCTAGACCCTTAGTTTCTTTTTCCATAGGGTTTTCCAGTAAATGATAAGGGAAAAAAACACATTAAGGTAATTTTGAGCACCTTTTCTAGGATAAGTTTATAAACTTAATTGTCAGACCTCATAAGTTATGAACATAATTGTCATGCCATGACATCTCTATGGCAATTCCAAAAAAGGAGTTCCTAATCACTCTGAAGGCTGCACTAGGTGCTCTTGTCCGTGCACAGGTTCCCCAGGGGAGCACCTTGAGATGACTGTAGTATACTTAGCATCTTTCTCGAGGGTCAGTTTGTGAACTTCATTGTCCAACCTCCTAACGTTGGTAAAGATCTGCCAGTGATATTTTATGAAGGAATTTTTCAGACTTAAACCATTTAGTGAGAGCCATTATAGCATGCATTCTTTTTATTTTTCAAGACTGGAGATAAACAGAATCCATGGTATAATGATTTTACCTCCTTTCCATAAAAAGAGAGGGGCTGACATTGTTTTAACCTATACATGTTGGTTTGACACTTGAAAGCCAGCACGTGGAACACTTGAAAGCAAAAGCTGTGTAATTAAGGAAAATTATATTCTACCAAGTAGCAAATTCAGTGCCATTTTTAGCTCCATGTTGCGAACGAAGGTGCCAAATTTCGATCTTGTCTCTGGGGACCATGCCATGATGTTGTTACCACAGCTACTATTTCTACTGGCATGACTGAGTTCTCAGATCCTGCCAAAAATGGATAGGAAGGAGGGGTAGTGACAGCTGGTGACACAGTCCAGTAGTTGCCAGAACTTTGG